TGAAGCCAGCTCAAACACATTGCTCCCTTCAAAACTCCTTTGCTGTTCAGGTTTTACACCCTTTCTGCTCCCAAGATCTCTACTTGTATTTGGCTTGCGTTTGGATGTCAGTCAAATGGTCTCCCTTYTCTGCTTTCCTCAAGTAAGTGACACAGGACCTTATGAGATTGTGATGCCACTTCMTGGCATGCATGAAGCCAAAAAGTCAAAGTGGCTAATATGTGGGTGTTTTTTAATTAATATCTTATTAAGTAACAAGACTATTAAAATTGAAACTTTTTGCTGACAAAACAATGCAATTTTGTCAACATTACCCCAAATTTCAGTTTGAAATACTTTTATTTTTAAGTAGGATGAATCCTTTTTCCCCCTGATGAAATATGAAGTTTTATTTTGGGCCAGATTGTTTGTTCTTTTTTTTGGATGGGGAGAGGGAATAGAGAGCAACGAGCGGGCTCAGAACTAAGCAAAACATCTGGTCCACGTTAAAGCAGATGAAAATATTAGAACATCTCTTAGCTATCCAGTTAGCTTCATTTCTATTTAATATTTGATATGGTACCTAAGGTAAGAATTTTACTTTAATAAAGAATTGTAGGGCAATTATCTTTTGTCTGGATGAGCAGCAGATGGAAATACTCCCTAATAGAATAAATAAACCTCCGTAACTGCCACGTTTTTTTAGTAGCTCTCAAGGTGACGTGTGATGCTTGATCAGCCTTCGGTTTAGAAGTCTGACTTGCTTAAATCTCATCGTAGGTGTTAGCAAAGTGAATAGGGTGGTCTCCAAAGCACTAATCCGTATGGTATGGTGGAAGTTAGCTTGATTTTGGATCCCAAGCATGGCTGAATTGTAGTTATGGCATTCTGATGATCTCCAGCTGGTCGAGGTTGAGTAAAAAAACCATGGGTTGTTGATAAAAGTGTCACTACAGCATGTGTGAGCCAAGTAGTCTATGTTGTAACTGTAATGTAAGCACTTCATTATTAAAATAATAGAAACACCAATAGATTTACCTTAGCATAGACAGGTATAATGGCTTTGTTGAGATTTTTTTTTTTTTTTTTTCTGTATTCTAAAGTACATTTCAAGGTGGACAGACATATATTATGACTGCTTAACTTTTAGAATTCTGGGTGTGAACTTCTGAAAATTTGCTCTCACATCTCACTGCTATGTCCATGCAAATATTCCCYGATGGAACCAACATTGGCATGTAGTCATTCCAAGGTTTTGGAACTTACTCAGGTTACTCCCGTCCTAATAAAGGGTTCCTTTTTTTTCTTAAACTGGGAAACTGTCAGTAAAAAGAGAAAGGAAAAGGAAAGGCATGCTACAGATTTCTACTGCATTTTAGAATGATTCAACATCAATTCCTGTTCTTTGCTAACTGAGTAATCTGTGCAAGCAATGCCAAGACTGCTGGCCATCTGATACATACACCATTTCAGAAACTTACTGAGAAGCCAATTTTTCTGAGTTATGAAGCTTGAGGGCCATTAAAATCAAATATCAGTGTTACAGCAGGCCCCAGGCACCTGGTTTAGGTAAGTCCCAATGTAGTGAGAGTCATGCAATGAAGGTGCATCTTTCATTCTCTCTGAGTTTGGACAGAAATGTTTGATTTTTTTCTCTAGCAACTCCCATAGAAAGAGGGAAGAATGTCTCTTTATAAGCAAGTTATAAATGTGTCCTTGAAGACCGAGCAGAGAGAGGCATGTTGTGCTGAGGAACTGGCAATTTTTCTGGTACTTACCGCATGCAACTATTGTTCTTGCTCTTGTGTCATTTCATACTAAAGTGATCCCTCCTGCCATATTCTTTCCCCTAAAGCCTTGCAAGTCATTATGTCAGAATAAATATTCAGCATTTAGAAAGCAATTCTAATACATTCTTGCCTGAACAGAAAAGTACATGGCTATTGACTTCAGTCAAAAAAAGTATTTTTGTGCTATGACCTTACAGATTAGTCTTGGGCATTCAGTGAGACGTTATTCTGTGCAAAATGGCAGGGGYTTACTGACAATATGAAGAGCTTTTAGCAACACATTAGTGCTTAAAGCACTAAAAATGATTTCAGATGTAAAAGCTAATAAACTCCCATTCGTTTGGTCACAGCATTTGATAAAATGTGTTCAAATGAGCTCCTTTTACCAAGCCACAGAGACTGCCAAGCTGCGTTTCAGAAGAGGAGGAGTGCACCTTGGCTCTAGGACCCCTTACGGTTATTTGAGATGGGCTTTTGCTAACTGGGTTTGACTGCGAGGTGGGAGGTTTGGAGTAGGCCGAGCTTGTTGCAGGATGCCAAGCTCTGAAGTGGGTTTCTTTTTCCCTGGTGTAGTGTTTCTGAATCTGAACTATATTCAAAGAAATGAGGAGCAAATAAGTTATGTAAGAACTTCTTAAATAACTAGTGACTGTTTCTCACGATGCTCCATGATAGTTTAGACAAGTCTTACACTTCAGAAAAGGAAAGTGGAGTGTTAAGAAAGTAGTGTGTTAAGGTATTTCCCATCCCTTTTACTTTAGAGCCTGTGAGATGGATCTTGGGCTGATAGTAGCAGCAGGGGAGGTAGGTGCTGGGAGCCTCTGGTGTGGGGCAGAGTGAAACAGTGGAGGAGAGTTGGTGATTTAACTCTGGATCTTGTGCAGAATTACATGGATTTGGTCTTTTTTATTTATATGTATTTAGTTAAGTTACTGACAACTATCACTTGCTGAAGCTGGCCTTTGTATTTTCTCATTGACAGGACTGGCAAGGCCTGTTTTAAAGGTTGTGCTRAACAGAAATATGAATGGGATTCCTGTCTGTTAGGGCTGTTGTCTCCTTGTTAAATGATCCAGGCATCTGAACTGTTCTCCAGATGGTTTAAATAAAACTTTTTTTTATTTTTAAAGACTATAGAGAGGGTTATTCTACAGTCTTCTATAAAAAAAAAAAAAAAATAGAAGGCAAAAAAGGCAAAATCTTGTGAACATTTCTTTTTTTTTAAATAAATTTAAACTTCAGTTGATGCAGATGTACAGTAAGCAGGGATTCATAATGGCGTTCACAGTCACGAATGAAATGCAAAGCATTAGGCACAGCATTTCATTTCAAAGAATAAAACATGAACACCTGTGACATACCCATCCTTTGGTGGTTGTTCCTTGTGTGATCAGCATGAATATTGGCTGATGATGGGAAAACCTGCTCATTTTGCCCTGTTTGGTCACTTCAATTTAGATGCCTCTCTGAAATTTTCTAATTCAAACCATTGGAGCTAACAAATCTCCTGCCTGGCTCCTGGAAYGGTAGGGTTGTTATCTACAATGCTCACACTGCCATAAAGTTCAGTAGTCAAGTTAAAATCCAGCTATAAATTTTGGGGACTATTGCAAGAGAAATGTAAGATAAAATATGATTTTCTTTTATTTCTAATTTCATTGATTAATAAGTGGCCTCAGAAGCAATAAGATTTGTGGGTTGTGGCTTTTTTTCTAATAGGCTATAATGCTGCTCTTATCCTAGTTCTTCAAAATATATAGACACAAATTTTCTGTATGTCAATTTTAGAAACTGAAGATCTCCAAAATGTCCATATTATAAACAGTGTGTTCTTTCCTAGGTGAATTCTTTTTTTGTTGGTGGTTTTTTTTTTTTTTGTTTGTTTGTTTTTCTATGTTACACTCAATTTTAAAAATAATTGTCCCTGTATGTAGAAATAAATGTATTCTAATTAGCTAATTACTTGCATAAAGGAAACACTGTATTCCTTGGTTAAAGGAAAAGAAAACGCTTGAGTGCTATGAAACTCAAAAGAGCTGAAAAACCTGTGCATGGGGCTCCAGCCTCAGCGGTTAGACCCTGCTGCTGATTCTCGCACCCAGCGCGGGCGCCAGGGCAGGGCTGGCAGGCCCGGGCTCCGTAGGGTCTCTGCTCCCCGCTGGAGCCCAGCCAGCGCCCTGGGGCTGGCCCTGTTCCTGCGGGTGCCTGGGATTACTTCCCGGGAGACGGCCCGGCCCTGCACGCAGCGTTCGGAGAGGCACAGCACTTGAGTAAACTCAGGCCATCTGTTGGCTGCACAAATGAGTTTTCCCCATTTACCCATCTAGCCATAAGGTGCTTTTTTTTTTTTTTTTTTTTTTTTTTTAAATTTTTTTTTTTTTTTTTTTTTTTTTTTTTTTTTTTTTTTTTTTTTTAAAAAAAAACTTTGCCAGATTATATATTTTTTCTTTATCCAGTTCTAGTAGGATACACAAAAGGATTTTTTTTCCCCCCATTTTCCCTATTTTATTTCTTGCGCTTGTATGCATTTCATTGTTTCGGTTTTGTTTAACAAACATCTCCTTTATATAAGTGCTCCCATGAAAGATAATCTTTATTCATGATCCAGACACTATTACTGTTTCTTTTCTTTCTCCTGTCGTGTCCTAGTCCATCCCCTCCTGTCCTTTCCCCTCCTCTGCCTTTTTATTTGTCTCCCTCTGTGTGTGTCTTTTCCCTGTTCCCTTCCTGTCTTCTTTATTGCCTTTCTCCTCTTTGTCTTCTTTCCTCTTGAACACTAATACAAATCAATAAATAGAAAAGGCATTAAATTGGTTACRTCAGCATAACTTCATTGATTTTACTTCCCATGGTATGTTGTTCAGCATTCAGGGAAGATTTAAATCATTCAGAATTATTTGATTTTAACTTCAGTTGTTTTTAAGGTTCTCTGTTTTACATTGCCCTTAGCACTTCATGGCAATCAGATTCCTTGAGCATCCAGAGACTGAACGTTTATTCAGCAAAATCAGTCTCTTTTGAAGATTTTGTGTATGTTTTTATTTTTATTGCCACCTTCTKCCTGTCAAACAAAAGAGTGAAATGCATCTTTCACAAAGCACTTTTGGGGTTCCCAACAGATTAAGCTTTGTGAAGTACTCTAGTAAGAATTGAGGATTTATTGGCCAGTTTGCCTCTTTCGAATGTCTGTTCCTATTTTGAATTATTCTTTTATTTTTTTTTCTCTTACAGATCTATTTGAAAAACAAAGATTTGTACACTGTAGAAGCCAACAACCCTCGTCAGTTGGTGGAAATAGCAGCCAGAGACATTGAAAAACTGCTGAGTAACAGATCGAAAGCCTTGGTGGTGAGTRCTAATAGATTAGATTTTCTATTTTAATTATTTTCAATTCTTCATAACTGAAGCATGTTTTTATTGTTATTTTTGCTGCCTATGCACTTAGGGCATTGTCAGCTTGATGTCTACAGGACATGACATGTAGAAAGATGGCTTGTGACTTCATGGTAGAACAGGAACTCATTAGTTAGTTGGCATAGGGCAGATGCTTATGATAGTGATGGACAGATTAGGAACCAGGTCCAAGTAACAAATGAAGGTATAAATAGATGGGAACAATATTCCAGTGTGTGACGTACATGAGTTTTTATGGCCTGAAGATCACTATGCTTTACAAACAGTAATTATCTTAGGGAAAAAAAGGGAATGTAGCTTTATAAAAGCTGGTTTGAACATAATGGTATCTCTGAGGGTAATTTTAGTATAATTGCTGAATAGATGTGCTGATATTTAGTCTCCTTGTCTTCTCAGTTCCTCAATGTTTCATGGTGGTAGCAGTTAATTCTTCAGCAAATGTAGCCATGTGTGAAATACATGATTCATTTTCATAGCTATTCTATTTCTGACTTGCTAATTTAATCTGTATTTCAAACATGTTTTGTATCAGCAAAATTAATCCTGAGCTACTAGTGTGAAGATTGTGCTGCATTGTAATCTCGTGTTTCCTTATGTTTTAAATAACAACTAGCTGCTCTTTCAAAGTGCTTCTGCCAGCGTCGCTTGCAGATCTATCAACTGAGATGCCAGACCTGGATGATTGCTCCTTTTAACTCCTACTCATATAAAATCTGAATCACTTCAAAGATTAAGGTGCATTTTATAAGATACAGGCCAAACTTACATGGGGTATTCAAATGTAATTATGTCTTTTACAGAATCTGAGCTGTAGGCAAAGGCTTAGAGGACAGAATAGTAGAGTGGAATTGCTTAGAGGAATTACATAATCTATTTTGGCTTGAATTTGATTTTGGATGTGTCATTTAAGTGAAAGAGAGAAGAAGGAGGGATTAACTCACATAGAGTGAACACCTAGAGCTAGATTTTAGAACTCAGCTGGTTGCCCTAAGCTCTTCTATGTTCAATGAAGCAAAAAAGGCCCTTCTCAGGTGGGGCTTACCCAACCTGTTCTAAATAAAGACTTTGAAGTGGGRTGAACTACAGCCTAGAAGTACTAATTTCTCTCTTTGGCTATGAGAGGAGCTGAGGTGCAGATGTCCATACTGTAAATGTCTCAGGTTTGGAGAGATGGGTTCCTCGCAAGGAAATCTGTGTGGTTTCACTCTGCTGAAGAACCAGTCAGGGACTGAAATTGCTGGTCCATGTTTTGCTGAGGAGTGGTCGTCTTAACAGTGAAGACAGAAAGGTCATTTGCTTAGCGAGGTTCTGTGAGCAGGTACCGCTGGAGATGCCCATTTTCCTTCTCATGTGCTTAGCTGTAGGAGTTTTTGTTCCCTGTACCAGCTCTTGTAGCTTCACTGACATGTTGTGTAAATCTCTATAAAAGCTTCCATGTGTGCGTGTGTGTGTGTGTGTGTGTAAGTATAATAACAATAGATGCAAAATAAGTTTTCATTTTTATATAGTAATTCTGTGGGTGTGTGTTTACCTAGCACTTTGAACTTTCTRTTATTCATGCAAAGCATTATAAATGACTTATAAATCTTTGTGAATATGGAATATTTTCCACCATTTTCCTATCAACTCATTAAGTTATGATGCATTTAAGTTACCCTAKCCAAATCTTTTGCTTGAAAATCATAATTCTTGAAAGAGTTTGTGTGTGTGTTTGTCCATGTGTGTTCTGTAAATTTTTTCTTCTCTGAAAGCTTGAAGAGAAATGAAATAGCTGTCTCAGAGTTAGTCTAGAAAAGATACCAGAACATTTTTTCCTTTGTATGTGGCAGAAGGAGGGTATTCTACCTGGTTTTAGGTAAGTCTTTGGTCACTTTTTGAAAGGAGTTCTATGGTCCAGTTGGTAAGCTGTGGGAGGATGTATTTTCAGTCCAGTTCCCCCCTTTCTAAGAAAAATACACTATTTTCTAGTCTTCCTAACTTTTCAGATAGTTTTAAAGTTAGTACTTCCAAAGGCAGATAGAAAGTCCTTCAAATACATCAGTGGTTACAGATGCATGACTTTAAAACCAATTCTGTTATTTTGGGGGATGTGACTCATGACATGTTCATGGTTAAGGGTGGCATTACAGCCAGTGCTGCAGTGTATGTCCAGTGCTTATGGTCTTTAGGTGTGTTCTGTAATTTCAGGATGCATACAATAATCCTGTGTATTTCGGCAAGACTTCTTCATGTCAGACTTGCCCCTTCATGCAGGGTGAAATTCATCCCGATGCAGATGAAAATAATTGGTCTTAGTCCCTCTTCTCACAGTTGAATTTAATTTGATAAAGGAGAAATCTACTTTACGACAACTTTTTGGTGATAGTCATAGAAGCTCGCCAAGAAAACTTACTTTCCCTTTGTATCAAAAGCCAGATTAGCGTAATACATTCGGAATCATAATATTTACTCAGTGTTTAGTAACGGATTAATATTATTTTCAATATTTTGGTTTTGGATTCATAGATTCTTTGCCATGAAGGCTGGATGTCCTGGGGACATTCTGTGAAAAAACGTGTTTATCATGTATATTGATGAATACAGAGACTTAGTCTTTTTAAAAGAAAATGGAAAAGAGGGGGGAAAATTCCCACTCAAGGGGAAAAATAGCCTCTTATTTATCTCAGAACTACACAGATGTCCTTGATATAACCATATGTTATATGGTTATTAATTTTAGATGAATTTGTGTTGGTTTCTTTTATGCTTTCACCTTAAGAGCAATGAATGGCTCAGATATTTGCACTAGCTTTTCTGTTTGCAGGAATCCAGGCTTTATATCAGAGTGATATGCAGTGACTTCTGATTTAAAACATTCCTTCAGGTCATTTGATTCACTTGTGACACTCTCTTGTTATCTCTTGAACCTGAATTATTAGCTTCTACTAAGGGAATTATGACATTTCTTTACCATCCAGAAGTGCTCCTCTCTTCTCTTCTCTTCTCTTCTCTTCTCTTCTCTTCTCTTCTCTTCTCTTCTCTTCTCTTCTCTTCTCTTCTCTTCTCTTCTCTTCTCTTCTCTNTCTTCTCTTCTCTTCTCTTCTCTTCTCTTCTCTTCTCTTCTCTTCTCTTCTCTTCTCTTCTCTTCTCTTCTCTTCTCTTCTCTTCTCTTCTCTTCAGCTACCCTTATATTTGATTTTATAAATAATTCAGCTTCTCTACCTAATGCTCCTCTGAAATACAAGTCTTGTTAAGTCTCCTGGGTCACATTTTCTCTGAAGTCAGGAGTGGAGTCGAATAGGACTGATACTAATCACTGCACTTAGGGTTTTAYCATTGGGGCTAATATGACTCAAAGTGTTAATTAAGACCTGAATGTTGAAGCGAGGGTGATGCAAGAGCAGAATAAATCCTCCAGTAATGCTGGGAGGAAGGTGCCAGCAAGTGACATCAGCCGGCTCGTTGTTCACACAGTAGTGTCCCCCAGGGCCGTTGCTGATTTTCTCCAGGCGTCCCACACAAACAATGTTTTGGCAAGGTTATAATAAGCAAATATTAGTGGTGACTCTTCTAATAATATGTTGGCTTCCCTTGAGCTGCAAGAGCACCTTTAAATGAAAAATTACTCTTGCAGAGCAAAATTTTGTTTCTATGCACTCTTATGCTATAAAAAATGTGAATATGATTATATTATCTGTAAATATTATTATATTTTGTAGTTCTGGGCATTACATGTGGAAGGCTTGGAAATTCCAAGTTAGCGGGGACCACCTGTGTGATTTCATTTCTGAAAAATAATAATGCATATGTGGGAATATTACACTGAAAATCTGGGCAACGATGACTTCTTCCACCTTAAGGAAAGAAAATGTTTTGTTATTTTTCCATGAGTGGGCATTTATACTTGGAAAGAGCTTAAAAGTGGTGGTTAAAAAAAATCATAGCTGAGGACAGAGAAAAGGGGAGGGCTTAAATTGAAGCCAAGACAGAGGGGCTTCATGGATAGTGAAGACTGGAAAATATTATTGATAGGAGACAAAACCAGGATGAAAAGAAGAGGGAGACTTTTCTAAGCATGGTCTATAGAGGAGGAATGTAGCTTTTGCAGMAAGAAATTAGACGGGCAATAGTCCCTTATACTGAAGGATGTCCAAGAAAGCGTTATGATGGAGCTGCTGTTGAAAGCGTGTGTGTTTTTTTTCCTTTTTTTTTGGCATTATTCTTGTTTCATGTTGTGTATTTGCTTGGTCTCACCCCTACAGAACACCCAGTGTGGTGACATTTGCATATGCAAATGCCCCATTGTGCGAGTTAATCATCTGCCCCTACGGGTGCGGGCAAAAGGGTTGGCTGTGCCAGCAGCGGGACCCGCGTTGGCAGCTCTGCCGCGGCAGATGGGTGGAGGTGTCGTGGAGCAGGTGTCTGGTAGCAGCTACGGGCAAGAAGCTCCTTCTCGGGCATTTGGCAGGTCCAYAGGCTTCGCCAGGCTGTCAGCAAGGGCTCTGCTTAGCCCCTTGGGCAGTCTGGCACCTAAGCTGCAAAGTGCCACCCAAGTGATCCGATGCGTTCTCAAGGTCCTGCGTCTCCCATGAGGGCAGGAGCTTTCATGGAGACAATGGAGATCGTGCCAGTAAATCACAATCTTTCTGCTCAGGTAAAGTAATTTGAAGAAAATGTTTTACATATGCAAGAAAATGAAGAAAACTGCACTTCGAAAAAATACGGATTTATTTCATTACTACCACTACAAATACTGAATTGAGTACATGAGACTGATATATTTGAAAAATGTGACTTGAGGAGTTACAAATATTTTTCCTCTGTCTGCAGGAACAAAAAAGCCTTTTGATGTATGAGATGGGCTCAGGATATATTTATTAATCATATAAAATATTACAGAAAACTCAAGATTTGCAGATATCCTAAGTTTTGCCATTGTATGTTAATATTTTATA